GACTCAATTTGTAGTTCATTGATAGAATGAATCATGCCCAGATAACCACAATTGGTGAAGTATCAAGCAATTTGGTTATAATGTCTCCTACTTTGAAAAGAAGTACCAATCACCCAATCTTAGGAAAACCAACCACATTTTTTGCAGAATTGTACATGATTGTTCCAACAACCTTCAAGTATAATCACTAGTACTCGATTGGAATTGTTCTCCTGCCCAAGGGGGGCAGAATAAGACTGTCCACCTGCTGATGTGGCAGGAGAACTCAACGTTGGGTTCTTTTCGAGTGGGCATAATAAGACTTCTCACCGTGAGCAAGAGAATGACGGACTTATGAGCTATAAATGAGACTGTGTGTGTATTATTATTATTTTTTTAAATAAAAATTTAACCCTACCCTCCAAGGTAGATTTGAACCCAAGTTAACAATTAGGAAACTTTCGCTCTAATCAATTAGGCACTTTAACGTACAAGGATACTTATATACACATACAATTCAAAATTTCATGTCAGGAAAAAGTAATGAAAAAGTGAAATGGAAGCAAAATGTCCCATTGAAAAATGAGATATGCAACTCCAAGCAGAATCAAACAAACCTAAAATTAAAAAGTCCTGATTCACCCATCCGTGCACAAATAGTTGTGTTCTAAATCCTATTTCCGAAAGCAATATACATACATTTTCAGTGGGTAACCCTCAATTTGAAAGTTACGTCCACTTTATCACGACAATTTTCGATTATAAATAATGACGTCTCTTACATAGATAAAAATCGACCCAAATATATCAATATCTCCATGAGAATTGAAAATAATACGGTAATATGAGAGAGAGAGGTTATTGCCCACCCTCCCTTCAATCCCTATCTCTCTCCCACAAAAGCAACCAAAAGAAACACCCAAACCTCTAGAAGATATAAAAGAGTAACCTATAATTATAGAAAAACAAAAGAGAGGGAGAAATGGCAAGCTGGCAAAAACCAGTTCTATAAACAGTAGATTGAATACAATTGTTGGCATATAAGAAGATGAAGATTTCATCAAAGTCAGTATCAAGTCCAAGCAGAGCAGAGAAATTTCCACCACCATTGATAATGTTCTTGAGGAGCAATGGCGGCAGTAGAAGCAGAGGCAGGTCACGTGCAAGCCCAATGTTTTACTTGCGCAGTAAAAAGAATGCAGCAGCGATAGAAACAGCTCAGGAACCATCCTCACCTAAAGTCACTTGCATTGGTCAAATCCGAGTTAAAAGGTCCTCAAAATCCTCAGAGCCCAAGAAAACAGGCGCCACCACAAGCTGCCCCTGTGGGTGGTTCAAGAAAATTAACTGTTACAATTTTACCTCAAGATTTCATAAACCAGAGCCCCTCCGCCGGTTATTTATCAAATGCGGTTTGTTTTTCCGGTCTCAATGTTGCAAGAAAGTTGATACCAGAGGAGATTCTTTTGGGGCCGAACCAATTCAGACAAGTCAGAATCAAAACCATGTTGGTAATAATTGTGAAATTCTAGGACCTCAATTTCATGAAAATAATGTGGATTTTCTTGGTTCCACTACTCCACATGTGGGTACTAATGAAATTCTTGGAGCCCAAATTCTAGAAAATAAAGGGGATTTTCTTGGTTGTTCTTCTCCACATGTTGATAATAATCATGAAATTCTTGAAGCCCAAATTCAAGAAAATAAAAGAAATTTTCTTGATTCTTCTTCTCCACGCAAGAACGCTTTGCTTGATTCTTCTTCTCCGCCCAAGAACGCTTTGCTTTTGACTAGGTGCAGATCTACTCCTTGTAGGTCTTCATCATCGGCCAGCAGGTTTTGGGGATCTCCCCCATTAGCTAAACCAGAAACAGAGAATAACACTGAGAGGGAAGCAAAGACAAAGCACAAATTTCAAGAATTTAAATTCACCCGTTGTAAAAATGTGGCAGTAGAGTCAAGAAACAGCCATGAAGGTGAAGAATTTGAAGGTTCAGTAAATAATGTTGAAAACTTGAATTCAACTGGGGGAGGTGTTGCAGTGCATCCTTTACTACTTACAAGGAGTAAATCAGAACCAGCAAGAACAGGGGAAAGGCTAATGCCAGAAACCAGAAGCCAATTTTGTGGTTGCAAAAAAGGTTTTTAAGTGTTGTTGAATCTTGTTCCCAAATTTAATAAGGGATTTGTAATTTGTTTTTCAGGAGATTATATAATCAAATCAACAAACCTTTTTTAGCTTTTCTTCCTTAGAAAATTGCATGTTTGTTTCCTTAGCTCCGTTGGCAAATTTAAAGATGAAAGGAAATGCAAATGTTTCAGTAAATCTGCCACTCCCTATGCCTTTGGACTGTTATCTGAGTTGCTTGCTTGCTTGTTTTTTCCAGATTTTTACGGGTTATATTTTTCAATCTGAGTTTCTATAGTTTTGGTTGTCATTAATCCACTAATCACTGTGCTTATGAGCAATCCACTAATCATATCTATTTGGAGATGGATACCTAACGCCTCAAAAGATCAAAACAAATTTAACGTTTTATGTAGAATAATTTGGGACTAATTTGAATGTCTTTTTCCCTTCTCAATGCTCATATAAAAAGTTTCACTATTAGCTTTTAACCCATTTTTTAGTGAAAATTAAGGGCTCCCAAATTTTTAACGTTTGATAGCAAACGTGGAAAATTGGTGAAAAAAAATGATTTCTAGGGAATTGAACTGTTTAAAAATTATTTTATTGGGAATTGTAATTAATTGTGTTTTATTGGTATAATTTTTCACCTGGAAAATATTGTCCATTAAAGTGATAATTTTTTCTGCGATTGAATCTAGAATTTGTTTTAATTGCCAAAAAAATAATTTTTGAAAAAATTTATCATACCGAATACCATTCGTTCTTTTTCATTTTGCATGAAAATTGTCAATAAAGTGATAATTTTTTTTACCATTGTGTCTAGAATTTTTTTCAATTGCCAAAAAAAATTAATTTTTTTTTAAAAATAAAGCAATTCCATTTTGCCAAGAAAATGGATTCCCACCACTCTGTCAAGAAAGTCAATTCCTTAAAAACATGGAAAATTGGTTGATGTGACACAAGTAAGGAAAGACAATTCCATGACAAATTTTGT